CCACGATCGACAGCGCCTCACGACGGAGGAGGCCAGCCCAGGTAAAGTGTTCGATCAGCTCTCGAACATCGCTTCCGCTCGCACGCCCGGCGCCCATGACGAAATCCAGCGCTGGACGAAGCTCCCACGTTCTCTTAGGACTGACCCATCGAACTACCCCAGTGTGACCCCACCTAGAAGTTGGAGCTCCTAGGAAAACAGCATTAGTTGCTATGGCATGCTGCGCTATGCTATGCCTTGCAATGTGATACTGCACTATGCTATGCTATGTTGTGATATGATGTGATACGCGATGCTGCGCTATGCTGTGCTATGAAATGCTATGCTACGATATGCGATGCTAAACTATGATTTGTAATTCTGCGCTGTGATATGCTGAGCTATGATATGATATGATGGGGTGTGCTAAGTTGTACAATACTATGCTGCGCTGTGCTGTGATATGCTGCGCTATGCTGCGCTATGATATGCCGTGCTATGATGGGCTAAGATATGATATGATGTTATGCGCTATGCTATGATGTGCTCTGCTAAAGTTCAGCGAATCTAAGATGAAGGTAAGTTAAGCTACGATAAACCAGAGTTAAGATGAAGCGAAGCTAAGCCAAAATGAAATAAGCTAAGCTAAGATGAGATCAGCAATGCTAAGCTAAGGGGGCGCAGCTGGGGGAACCGCGGGGCGGATCCTGGGGGAACCGCCTGGGGCGAGGCCCACTGCCAAGCCCTTTAAGCACAGAGGGTAAGAACCCTTCTAGGCAGAACCTAGGTAGGGAACAACACCCCAGTGAACTCCGTGGCGCGGCGATCCCCTGAGACATCGCGACATCCAAGCCCCGCGTCCTCGAGCACGGCCCGGGCGCCCCGAATGCGAGAGGCGGCGTCCGAAGCACCCGGCGAAACGACGGCGAAATCATCCACGTGCACGGCGTGCTTCGCAGATGTGCCGTCGAAAACTTGCGGGGCCCGCCAATCGAAAACCGCGTCGACACAACGCAAGCCGCTTCGCCCCATCCCAGCTGAGACGGCAGCCCGGCGGAAAAAAACAAAGCCCAAGACCAGTCCAATGGGAAGGCGAGGAGATGAGGCGAGCAAGTGAGGCCCAGGCGAGCCCGCCCCTCGCTCGAAAGGCCAGGGATGCACGACGCCTTCGCCCCAAGCTAAACAAAAAGCTGGCCCATCCCGGGGTCGAGGGGGATGCGATGGGAAGCTGCCTGCGCGTCGCGCCGAGCAACCCGCAGAGGCCCCTCGCCTTCCACCTCAACGCGGACTCAGGAGCCGCTGGCAGGGGGGGCAGTCTTCGCTGGAGGACGGAAGATGACTGGCAGCGCGGGCGTCAAACATCATTTCCAAAGAGCTATCCTGTTTGCGCTCGAGAAACCCACGATGCCCCGCGCACGCGGGTCGCCCATGACTCGCCGCGCACCGCTGGGCCTCTCACGAGCGCTGGATCCGCGTAAACGTAGGAGGCGCCAACCGTCGTCAGCGGGAACTCCGCTGTCCCCCTCGCGAAGGAGACGAGATCCCCACTCCGCCCGCATCTCGAGCTCCCAGCGGCCGAACACCTCGGGGAGCTCCACAGGCTTAGGAGGGACCAGGGGCAGCGAGACAGACCCCGCGGCGCGGAAATGGGAGGCCCGCGGCGTCGGCCTCGAAGGCGCAGCCGGCGCGGCCGCCGCAGAGCTCCCGGAAAGCCCCCGCGGCGACACCCAAACCTGCAGGCGGCGGGCCGACGGCCCTGCACGCGCCCTTCAGCTCCTCGAGGCACGACAGCTGCCCCGCCGAGAGAAGCCTCGAGGCGCCACTGCCAGCAGGCGCGAGATGCCCGAAAAGTTCATTGAACGCAGAAACGCCTCGATCGCACCAAGACTGCCAGCGTTGCCGAGCTGCCGCCCGTTTCTGACTGCGCGGCGCGGCATCCAGAAGCACCAGCAGAGCCCCGGTCGGGGTGAAAGGGCAGCGGGCACGGAAGCAGCTCCCGCGCGGGCCCGCCGGGGGTTCCGCCGCTCTCCATGACGAAGGGCGGAGGGGCGGCCAGTTCCCGCCGCCAGGCACGGCGCACTAGTCCTTCTCGCCCTTCAGAGCCTTGCGCTCTTCATGAGCTTTGCGTCTTTTCTTCGTGGCCTGGCGCTCGCTCGAGAGCTCGCGGCCGGCCCGCGACCCCAGCTCCGGCGAGACGCACAGCGCGCCGCGCCTCGCTGAGAGGCCGAGGCACAGATGAGCGTCATCGAAGGGGTCATTGACGACGCCCTTCATCCCATCCCGAAGCTTCTTCGGCTCGAACTTCTCCTTGTGCTCGAGCTCGATCAGCCGAGCGCGCCCGCGGGCCAGCTCGGCCCAGGCGAGCTGCGGCAGGTCCAGCTGGTCGCCCGCCGCCCCGAGGTACAGCATCTTCATCACCGCCGCGTGCTCGCCGACCCCGACGTCCGTCGGTTGGAGGCGCCGTCTGCCAGGGAGCGAGCGCGCCCCTGCTCGGGGTCATGAAGTGCTCCGCGATGAACGAGAGCACGAAGAGCACCGCCCGCGGGCCGCAGAGCGGCCAGTCCTCCCACGAGGACACCTGCATCGCCTCCGCCGAGGCCATGAAGTCCCGGCGCCTGATGCTGAAGGGCGTTCGGGCTATGGCCAGCGCCCGCCCGTCGCTATCGCCAGGCGCGACGGCGCCGCCCGAGGCGCCACCCAGGCGGGCCAGCCGCGCCATCACGTCGCTGCCCCCCACCTTCAGGGCGCCCTTGTCGAAGAAGATCTCCCGAACAAGCCCCTCGAGCTGCGGCCCGTCAAGCTTGGGCAGCTGCTCCTTCAACCGCGCGTCGCTACCCGCCTTGGAGCGCAGGGCGCGGCGCGCGCGGCTGACCAGCGCCTTCGCCATGGCATTGGCGTCTGCGGCGCCGCCAGGGGAAGGCTCGCTGGCGGCGACCGCTGCGACGCCGAGCGCTCGCCGAAGCTGGACCGCCCGCGCCGCGGCGTAGTCGTCCAGCGCGTCGAGCTCGACCCACTCCACGGCCACGCTGACCCCCTGCACAATATCGATTTCCGCCAAGCTCGCCGTCGCCACCGGATCTGGCGTCTCCGGCCCGAGCGCGAAGCCGCGGGTGGAATCGGCCACCAGCCGTGCGCCGGGCCTCGCGGGCGGCGGCGCCGGGGCCACTGCAGCGGGCTCAGGCTCCTCGCCGGGGTGCAAGCCGACGAGTGGGGTCCCCGTGCCACCGACGCCGCCAGCCTCCTCGGGCGCGTCAGCGAGCGCGCGGAGAGACGCTGGCTGCTTGCGACGCAGCCTTCCCGGAGGGCCCGCACCCAAGGAATCTCCGCCAGCGCTGTCATCGTCAGCTCCGCCTACCGGGAACTCCACGGCGGCACGGAAGGCGTCGGCGCGCGCCACCAGCCGCTGCACGAGTGACGGCGCGGTATCGCCCGACCGCGTCCTCCCGTCGAAGAAGAGGTAGGGCTGCCTCGCGAACGCCACGCGGCAACGCCCTGGATCGCGGCAGGATCACCACCTTGCGGAACACCTCCGGGTCCGTGTTGATCTCGTCGTATACGTCGAAGTCTGGGGCCGCTACGACCCAGTGCCCACGCGAGCAACCCACTGGCTGGCACGGCAGCCTCTCGTGGTGCAGATCGTCGCCATGATACTGCACCAGCAGCCGCGTTCCCTCAGAGAGCGCCTCCAGGTCGGCTCGCCCCGGCATGAGGCCGCCGCTCCTGCGCCTCGCGCCGCTCTGTGGTGAGCGTCGCCACGGTGCCCTCCTCGTCGCCGAACCCCTCGGTCAAGGCGCCCGTCCGCGTCGGCGCCTGGCGGCCCGCTGCTGCGCGTAGCGCCCAACGTGCAGCGCGGTCCGCCGCGAGCCCGACGGCCACGCCGAGCGCGAAGAAGCCGAGCGCTGCTGCCTCGGAGCCCCTTGCGAAGGGCGGGCAGCCCACGGTTTCGACGGGCACGCCAGCCGCGCAGGTCAGCGAGCCGCAGGCCACGTCGGGGCAGTGGATCGAAGGGAACCGAGGGCAGGATTGCCAGGCCGAGGTGAGGTGGAGGGAGAGACCAGGGCAGCTCTCGGAGTATTCCTCCGACCTGGACCGGATCCTTCGAGCGCCTTGATCATAAGAGGCATCGGCACGGATGCCAGCTCACCCGAATGAACCATGGCGGATACCCCTTGCATTACTCGGGATGCCCGTTCAAAGAACTACTATGGTGCGATTGATCGTGAGGTTGATTGGAAGATCGTGTGTGTGTGTGATCGATTGCGAGATCGATAGAGAGATCGGCAGTGAGATCGACCGAGTGCCATCGATAGCAATATCGATAGTGAGATCGATAGTGCGACCGACAGTGAGATCGATAGTGAGATCGATGGTGAGATCGATAGTGAGATCGATAGTGAGATCGCTAGTGATATCGATCGTGAGATCGATGGTGGGATCGATTGTGGCATCGATTGTGTCGATTGTAAGATCGATGGAGGGAGTGACAGTGAAATCGATTGCGAGATCGATGGTGAGATCGATTGAGTGAGACGTTGTTTCTCCACCCCACCCCACCCCCGAACTTCCTTACCGTCCGAACGATGGTCTCGTAGGTATGTATGCATGTGTACAAACATACATATATACTCGAACCACGCGCGCGCGTTCCGCGCGCTTAGGTTCTAGCGCAATTCAAAAAAACCTCACAAGATCGAATGAGGATCGACATGATCCTGCAAGCATCACCCTACGGGGGCGCAGTTCCTGATGGACGCTACATGAATCGCCGAAGAAGGCTGCAGGAAGTAGCAGCCACGACAGCCACGACGGCCACGACGAGGACCCGGGGCAGCCGAAGGGGGGATGCCCGAGAGCCACCAGGAGCCTGGCCGAAACCATGCCGGGAGCCTCTCTGGATGCCGCTGGGGAACGTTCCCGGAGGGCTCTTGGGGAGTGCTGGGGCTGGGGCCTCTCCGGTTTTTGTTGGGGGTCTCCTGATGGCCTCTGAGGACATTTCGGGGCGCCTCGGGCGCCGCCTCCCTTGGGCTCTTGGCACCTGGGCTCGAAATGTCGGCTTGGGTCCGCGCTCTTGCCCCTTTCTCGAGGCCGTCTTTTTTTTTCTGGCCTTTGGCAGCGTCTTCATTGGTCGAGCTACTCCGTCGATGCGCCGCGCCGCGCGTACGGGAAGCGCGGTGCCGCACCGACGCGCGCCGTGCCGCGCGGTCCTCGCACGACCATCCAGGCCGCTGGCTGTCTGTGTGAACGGGTCACCCAGCACCGCCCACTGTGCAAAGGACGCCAATGACAAACTTGGCTCGCGCGCACCTGGCTGCGCCTGCCGCCCTCGGGCTCCGCCCGGCTCCGCCTGTCTGCGTCACACTCGAGCGGACTGCCTTTCGCACCACCCCTGGGCTGTGCCTTGCGCGCATGCTGCCCACTAGGCAGCCCGACGGGATTCTCTGCACTAGGCTCGATCAATACAGCCTGCTTCAATCCCACGGGCCCCTTAGGTTGTCTTGGACTGACAGGGGGCAAGCGAAAAGGTAAAAACGCGAGAATGTATCTGATGAGGATGATGATAAGGATGAGGAGGAGGAAGGAGAAAGAAGAGAGTGGGCAGGAGGCATCTTGGGGAGGGGGGGGGCTGAGATGAGAATTCTCGACGAGGGATCTGGCACAGTCAGACGCCTCGGCATGCTGCCAGGGTCTCCAGCAAGATGCAAAAACAAAGGCCAGCGATATGGTCTGCTAAAAGCTTCTGGCAGCATCTAACAAGTTTTTAAACAACAGGATCACTGACAGTCTCATCTCGTGCACCTAGGCGCTCTAAATGGGCGCAGCCCTTTAGGGAGGAGCATGAGGAGTAGAAGATGAGATGAAGGGGGGATAATGGAAGTCTGCGAGACTGCACGTGTTGAGGAGGCGACGGCTGAAAATGCCATATAAGTGCTACTACCTACTGAGCAGGCGAAGCAACCAGTACCAGAAAGTCTGCGAGTCCTCTGATTCATCGATAATATGTTCACCACAATCCCAAACAGCCTCGTCCGTCTTGACCCACCCGTCCTCCATCCACATGGAGTTTGGGTCGCAAGTTTGGTTGCACGCGAACCAGTAGTCATTCTTCTTGTAGCACGTCGCGTCAGGATCAGCGCAACACATGGTAAGTGCGCAAGACTCCCCGTTCGGCGAGCAAACGGAGGCTGTCGCGACATCGGAGCTACTCGCGGCGTCTGCCGACACATCGGCGCCAGCGGCAATACTGACATCGGAGTCGGACGAAACGTCGGTACTGTCGATGCTGATGACTTCGCAATCCCAAACTGTTTCGTTCGTCTTGACCCAGCCGTTCTCCATCCACATGTAGTTTGGATTGCAAAATTGGTTGCACGCGAACCAATAGTCATTCTTCTTGTAGCACTTCGAGCCGGGATCAGAGCAGCACTGGGAAAGTGCGCAAGACGCCCCGGGTTGCGAGCACGGCGGCCGAATCTCCGTGCAGTCCCAGACTGTCCCGTTCGTAGTGACCCATCCGTCCACCGTCCACAGACTGTATGGGTTGCAAGTTTGGCTGCACGAGCTCCAATGGTCATTCTTCTTGTAGCACTTCGCGCCAGGCTCAGAACAGCACTGGGACAGCGCGCAAGACGCCCCGGTCTGCAAGCACGTGCCGTTCTCGTCCTCGGCTGCTGCATCAGCAATGGGATCCGCTGATTCGACAGGATTCACGGTGAGGTCCTCGCAATCCCAGACTGTCTCGTCCGTCTCGACCCAGCCGTCCTCCATCCACATGTAGTTGGGGTTGCAAGTTTGGTTGCACGAGCTCCAATAGTCGTTCTTCTTGTAGCACTTCGCCCCTGGCTCAGAGCAGCACTGGGACAGAGGGCAAGACGCCCCGTTGTGCGTGCACGGAAGCCGAATCTCCTCACAATCCCAAACTGTCTCATTCGTCGTGACCCATCCGTCCACCGTTCAAAGACTGTATGGGTTGCAAGTTTGGTTGCACGTGCTCCAATGGTCATTCTTCTTGTAGCACTTCGCGCCAGGCTCAGAGCAGCACATGGTAAGTGCGCAAGACTCCCCGTTCTGCGAGCACGCGAAGGCTGTCGCAGCATCGGAGCTCGCGGAGTCTGACGAAGCATCAGTGTCAGCGGCAGCAGTGGAATTAGCGGTGCTGTCGATGCTGATGACTTCGCAATCCCAAACTGTCTCGTCCGTCTTGACCCAGCGGTCCTCCATCCACATGGAATTAGGGTCGCAAGTTAGGTTGCACGCGAACCAATAGTCATTCTTCTTGTAGCAACTCGCGCCTGGCTCAGAGCAACACTGGGAAAGTGCGCAAGACGCCCCGGGCTGCGAGCACGGCGGCCGAATCTCCGTGCAGTCCCAGACTGCCTCGTTCGTCGTGACCCATCCGTCCACCGTCCACAGACTGTTTGGGTTGCAAGTTTGGTTGCACGAGCTCCAATAGTCGTTCTTCTTGTAGCACGTCGAGCCTGGCTCAGAGCAGCACTGGGACAGAGCGCACGACGCCCCATTTTGAGAGCACGTGCCTTTCTCGTCCTCGGCTTCTGCATCAGCGATGGGATCCGCTGATTCGACAGGATTCACGGTGAGGTCCTCGCAATCCCAGACTGTCTCGTCCGTCTCGACCCAGCCGTCCTCCATCCACATGTAGTTGGGGTTGCAAGTTTGGTTGCACGAGCTCCAATAGTCGTTCTTCTTGTAGCACTTCGCCCCTGGCTCAGAGCAGCACTGGGACAGAGGGCAAGACGCCCCGTTTGGCGTGCACGGAAGCCGAATCTCCTCACAATCCCAAACTGTCTCGTTCGTCGTGACCCATCCGTCCACCGTCCACAGACTGTTTGGGTCGCAGGTTTGGTTGCACGTGCTCCAATGGTCATTCTTCTTGTAGCACTTCGCGCCAGGCTCAGAGCAGCACATGGTAAGTGCACAAGACTCTCCGTTCTGCGAGCACGCGGAGGCTGTCGCAGCATCAGGGCTACTCGCGGAGTCTGACGAAGCATCAGTGTCAGCGGCATTCCCGGCACCGGAGTCAGACGAAACATCGGTACTATCGATACTGATTACCTCGCAATCCCAAACTGTTTCGTTCGTCTTCACCCAGCCGCTCTCCATCCACATGTAGTTTGGATTGCAAGTTTGGTTGCACGCGAACCAGTAGTCATTCTTCTTGTAGCACGTCGCCCCTGGCTGAGAGCAGCACTGGGACAGTGCGCAAGACGCCCCAGTTGCCGAGCACGGCGGCCGAATCTCCGTGCAGTCCCAGACTGTCTCGTTCGTCGTGACCCATCCGTCAACCGTCCACAGACTGTATGGGTTGCAAGTTTGGTTGCACGAGCTCCAATGGTCGTTCTTCTTGTAGCACTTCGCGCCAGGCTCAGAACAGCACTGGGTAAGTTCGCAAGTCGCAAGACGCCCCCGTCTGCGAGCACGGATCGGTCTCGCTGGGATCCCCGCCGCTCACATTGCTGGCAGCCTCGACAATTATAACCTCGGGAGAGGCAAGAGTCGCGGCCCCCGTGGAGGGCCCCGCGCGCCAAGCCACAGCCAGCAAAGCCAGCGCCGCCGCGGCCGCCGACAGCGCCGCCGCCCCGGCCAGAGCGCGCTGCTCGCGCGGCGCGCGCGGCGCCCGCGCGGGGGCGATCACCCCTGGCTCGCAGTCGCTCTCGAGGGGGAGCTGGAGCGGCAGGAACTCGCTCCTGTCCGCGCGCATGGCGGGCGAACGATCGAGCTGCAGCGGGCGCCTGTCGGGTGGGAACGCGAGTCTCGAGCCTCGAGTCAAAATGACTTGAGCCAAAATGACTTGAGCCAAAATGGCTACGGACCCCTTTCTCGAGGCCGTCTTGGGGGCCTCTTCTGGGCCGTCTTGGCGGCCTCTTGAGCCGTCCTGGCGGCCTCTTGCGTCGTATTCCGGCCATGGCGGGTGTCGTCTTGGAGCGTTGGAAAGCTGAAATAGCATGAGGGAGGGCGGCGGAGAGAGGAAGGCGCGAAGGAAAGATGAGGGGGAGGGCGGGAGGAAAAATGACGAAGCGAGGAGCAATGGGGAGGAGGGGAAGGGAAAGGATGTGAACAGGGAGACGCAGGAGAACCAAGAACAGGAGAGAGATCAAGGAGAACGGGTAGCGAGGTATGGGGACAACAGAAACGAACTCGGGGGCACGCCAAAGCCTGGGACAGAAGGAAACCGAGGGGTGTCGGTTTTGAACCAAAAAAGGGTTTCAGGGAGTTTCCTTTTTTTTCAAAGTGGGCCTCCTACCACATAGTGGAGCAGGATGCTGGGCGAGGGAGGTGGAGGTAGAAATGAATGAAGGAAAGACGGGGATGAGGCAGGGGAAAAACGGAATCGCATGAGGGAGGCGGAGGGAAGAAGGCGTGAAGGAGAGACGAGGGGGAGGGAGAGGCAAAAATGGTAGCGTGGAGGATGGATGAGAAGAGGAAGGAGGAACATGTGAAACGGGAGGCGCAAGAGAACCACGAGCAAAGGAGAGACAGAACAAGGAGAACGGACGGCGAGGGACGGGGGAAACGGAAACGAACTCTGGGGCACGCCAAAGCCTGGAACAAGAGGAAACGGCGGGAAGGGGGTCGGTCGAGCTCGAAGGAAAAGAAATTTGAGGGATGCCTCTGGATGCCCCAAAGAGAACACAAGATCGCCCCAAGAGGTCTCCAGAGTCCCCCAAAAAACGCTGGGGAAGCCCTCGAGAGGCCAAACGATTACATAAGCCACAGAAGATGTGCGATGAATGTGCTCTCGCATTTCCGCCTCCGATGCACTTCCGAGGCTTGCGCATGCCCACGTAAGCCGCTCGAGACGCATTTGGGGGGCATCTTGGAGCTCTCCTGGGGGGCCTCTTGGGAGCTCTTGAGGGCCTCGCAAGAACATCTTCGGCGCTGGGTGCCTCTAGGGCGGCTCCTGGGAGCTCGTTGGGGCCTGCTCGGAGCGTCTCTGGGGCCTCGGTGGTGCCTCTTCGGGCGTCATGGGAGCCTTTCGTGGCCTTCTGGGGCCACTTTGCGCCGCTCGGGACGCTTCCTGGGTTCCTCTTGGAGATCTCTTGGGGGATTGCGCACGCCTCGGAAGCGTGTCGGAGGCGGAAGTGCGAGAAAACAGAAAACCACCGATTCCAAATTGGGTTTGCAATGATTTCGGCATCTCGAGGGGTTCCCCGGAGCTCTTGGGGGACTCTTAGAAGCCTCTTGGAGCGATCTTAAAAGCTCTTGGGCACTTCCAGAGCCGTCGGGGGGGCCAGCTTGGACAGCCTTGGAGCACTCTTGAGCTATCTCGGGGGCGTCCTGGGCCGTCTTCAGGCTCTCCAGGGGCTCTCTTGAACGCCTGGGAGGGTGGTACAGGGGATGTGCTGGAAATGTTAGGGAACTGGGCGGAGACCCGGGGGGGCGCATTTGTATATATTGAATGTATGCACGTTTGTATATATGTATGCATGCATGCATGCATGCATGTATGACTGCTTGCATGCATGAATGCATGCATGTGTGCATGCTTGTATGTATATTTGTATGTATGCATGCAGATATGTATGCATGTATGTACGGATACAAACATGTGTGTATGTATGTGTACATGCATGTACGTAGATGTATATGTGTATGTGGATGTATGCAATGCTGTGTGTACGTATGCACGTATGTGTGTATGTATGCGTGTATGTATGTATGAACGTACGTACATACATTCGAACGTATGTATGTATGATTGTATGCGTGTATGTCTATGCTTGAATGTATGTATGCATGCAAGCAGACATGTGTGTATGTATAAATGTGTGTACGCACGTGCGCAAATACGTACGTACGGATGTATGCATGTGTGTATGTGTGCATGCATGCATGTATGTATGCATGCACGTATGTATGCGTGTATGTGTGATTGAATGTGTGTATATATATACATATACACATGCAATCGGCCTTTGTGTATGCATGTACGCATGTACGTGCGTAGGTATGTATGTGCGTATGCAGGTATGCACAGATGTATGTGTGTATGTGTGTATGGATGTATGCATATATGTATGTATGAATGTGTGTGTGTTTGAGTGTATGCATTTATGGATGCATGCACATGCGCATGTATGTATGTATGTATGTAAATATGTATGTACATATGTATGTATGTATGTGCATATGCATGTATGTGTGTATGTGTGTATGTGTGGATGCGTATATATGTGCATGGATAAAATCATGCATGCATGCATGCATGTATGTGTGTACGTATACATGCACATTCAGATGTAGATGTATGGATATGTGTATGTGTGTATGCATATGCGTTCATGTATGCATGTGCTGCTGCATGTATGCATGTAAACATGCATGTATGTATGTATGCATGCATCTATGTAGGCATGTATGTGTGCGTTTGCGTATCCCACCATCGCTGTACGAATCTGCAATTGGAACTGCATGCCGGCTTGCATGTTCAACGAGACGACCCGCGGGACAACCAAAATGCGAACCACAACATAACCGAGGGAGAACCATCGGGACAACTACGGGACATCCACAGGAAAATCAAAAGGACCGCCGCGGAATAGCCCACGAAACAGCCCACGAGACACCAACGGGAAAAACTCGGGACAACCCACTAGACAACCAGGGGACGACCACGGGACAATCATGGGACCACCCCACAGGCCACCGCAAAACATGCGGGCCATAATCATGTTCTCGTGTTCTCAGACGCAGCCATAGCTACGGCCGACATCATCTCCCTCGAGCATTTTCGCCTCGGCCGCACAACACGCACAGAAATCGTTTTCCCTGTTGGTGGGCCCGATTCGTACTCAGCCCCACCCCACCCCACAACTCTAGCATACGTACAAAAACGCGGCGTTGTCTCCCTCCATATCCGTCCATGTCTGCCCTCCTCCCCCTCCTCCTCCGCGGCACAGCAATCCCACCAACCACCCGCCCGGAACATAGCCCCCAGCCCCGCTTCCCTCCGCTTCAGACATACAATTCCCTGACACAGCTTGCTCTGTGAAATCTACACGCATGCGTCCGCATCCCACGCACGCACGTAACGACACCAGTATGGTCCACGTGCGTGCGCGCCCAATCCTCCTGCGCAAACACAGGCGCAAAAAAAATACGCAAGCGCACCTGTGTGCGGGTATACGCGTGCACGCACACTCTGCACTTCCTGGTAAGCTTCTGTCCAAACTGCATTATCCAAGCCGTATCATCGACTGTTCCCGTTGCTGTCCAACTATGTTGCCAGCCACTGTGGCTTCCTAGCCACACACACCAAAAGACAAACACAAAAAGGGTTCGCCCTAATATCTAGCCATACCCCCAAAGAAGTGAGAGAGAGAGCCGACGTGCCTTCTGGATCACGAAGAGCTGGTCGACTTCGCTCTCTCCGGCGAAAAGCGGCTGCCCATCACTTAATTCTCCCATGATACATCCAGCAGCCCAGATGTCGACGTCCTCGCAAATAACCGAGGGAAGCTGGCCATAGAGGTGCACAGACTGACAATGTGATTCGAGCATGGGCCATAAACAGTAATTCCTGCGAAACGAATGTAAAACAAGGTCAGGACACATGCATCGCAAATGCAATACAAATGCAACACACCTGCAGTACAACAGCAAAGCCACTGCAAACCGAGCAGGCAGAACCCTAGGACCGCATCCAAGAATCTGCACTCCCTTGCACGCAACGCCCGGATGGGCACTCTGGCCGCACCCATGAATCTGCCCACTCTCGCACGCAACACATGGGCGGGACCTCTAAGCGCGAAAAAGAATCTGCGCACCTCAGCATGCAAAGCATGGGCGGGGCCTTGTGGCTAGACCCCGTGATCTGCTCACCCTCACACGCAGCAAGTGAGCGGGACTTGACGGCCGCACCCGACAGTCTGCACCACCCCGCACGCAACGCATGAGCAGGACCATACGACACTAAGCAAGGAGTCCGCGTCCACCCCAATGCACGTCACGCTCCAGGGGGGGCCCAGGGCCGCACCGAATAATCCGCGCACGCTCACATGCAATTCACTGGCTGGATTTTGTGCCGCACCAAAACAAACACATAGTCGTACCCAGTTCTTGCAGGAAAATGCGAACCCCTGTGTGCAAGCTCTGGCCTGGGGCATCACACACACACACACACACACACACACACACACCTGACGTCGTCGCCTTGGACACGGTAAGCTCTGGTCACCGTGTAGGTATCAGCGTAGGGATGGTACTGCGGATCACCGAGAGACACTGAAGGGCACCAGGAAGAACACGCGGGGACAAACGGAGAGGAACGCCCAGGGTGGCTCAAGCAGGCCCATAAGGCCCACGGGTGGGGGGGCGCTGTGGAGGTGCGGCATGGAGGGTGCCACAAGGGGTCCCGCGAGCACGAGAGGCCGCGAAGGCAAGCATGGCAACATCTGTGGGGCGGGGTCGCGGGCTGGACTGCCCAGCGAGCCACCACATCGACCGTCAAAACGCACCCCCCACGCCACGAGGATGCTACGAGGACGCTGGGAGGCGCGAACGGGCCACGAACCACAAGAGGGCGTGGGTCACAAGTCACAATTTCAAAGTGCTGAAACCCAAGAAGGCATCTTGGCGAAGTGTGTGGGGCACTCGAGGGACCACAAGCAATCGAAGTCAGGAAGCGGCACCCACCGTGGGGGGCACACGAGGGGGCCACCAGAGGGCAATGTGTCGTCAGCAACTGAAGGTAAGGACGCATCCACCATGAGCGACACACGAAGAATGTATCAAAGAGGCCTGGACAGTGGGAAACGGAAGACAAGGCATGGCACCCACGGTCGGGGACGGCAGCGAGGCCACGTTGGGACAACGGGCCGCTGTTCAACGGGCCAAAAAGAACCGGCGGTATGGCAGGGCACTGGCCACTTGGAACCAATGGCCAAGGTATGGCACCCACATTGGGGGGCGCGAGGGGG